AAGTGACCGAAAGGGTCCCATGGCAGGGAGGGACCCAATCTCACTGTTCTTCCCCCACACTTTCAATTTCCCATTTCCTGCCAGAGCTGTCTGTTGGAAGAACCCATGGGAAGCAGAGTGCATAAGAGTCTCTTGCAATAGTTTGTTCTGGGCAGCCTCTTGGGGCAGATAGCAGGATGGAGGTGTGTGGACAGAAGACCTACAGGGGCAAACAGAAGCAAACTAATTTTATACTTTCTTTTGAAGCACTTGTTTACCTGAAGGCAATATCAATATTGTGAGCTCCTAGAGGGAGGACACTGGCCTTCCCGCTTATCTGTGGGATACTGTTTAAGGGATTGTTGAGTGAATGAATGAGGCTGTTCATTTTCTTCCTTTCTCTAAGTTTATTCATCTTTAGAGAGAAAGAGAGAGAGAGAGAGAGAGAGCGAGGGTGCAGAGGAGGGGCAGAGAGACAAGGAAAGAGTGAGATCATGACCTCATCCAAAACCAAGAGTCTGATGCTTAACTGACTGAGCTACCCGGGTGTCCCACCTTCCTTTCTCTTGACTTGCACTGGGGGTGGCCAACAAAAGCTGGATGATACTGGATGATACAGTCTTGTGTTCTGAATAGAAGGCTTCTCATTGTCATGACCAACTGACTCAAAGAGATCAACACTTCCTGTCTATGTAATAATTCTACTTTTAACAATCTCATTAGTAAAACTGCTAAACGAAGGCAGAGTTTACCGTAGTAATATCTTGAGTCTTTTTGTATTCTTGTTGTTTTTATAAGTACCCAGATTTAGCTAGGCAACACATTCATGAAATTTTAGTCCTTCTCAGTGAAATCTAACCCTGTTATTTCTCCTCTCACCAGTGCCCACTGGCCCGCAGATGGGCAAACTGTTTAATTTGGGAATCCACGTGACTTTTGATTCTTTCCCAGGCTCTGCTTCAAGAGAAGAACACACAAAGCACTAAATTAGCTTACTTAACTATCTTCAGTAGCTTTAAAGGAAGGTCTATGAGTACTGCCAGGTTTCTTTTAACTGTTCATAGAGCAGGAGTCAAAAGAGAAATGAGTTTATTGGCTGCAAACTTTTGAAAAGTTCCTCATGTAGTCAAATTGTCATCCCTAAAGATTCTCAGATTCTCAATTAGTAATTTGTAGGAAGGGTTAGAGCTAAATGACACAAGTGACTAGTTTGGAGGTACCTGGGGGTCCCTGAAGTACTCAGGTGTAAGAGCAGAAGAAAATACATTGTTGGGGAGAGGAATAAGTCCCTTTTCACTTGCCGCTTTACTATTCTTGTCTAAGGGTTCTCAGGGCTTGTGTGTGTATGTGTGTGTCTGTGTGTTTGTCGTGTGGGGAGATAGGAGAAGTGGGGAAGCCTCAGAATCCCTTAGACATCCAGGAAAAAGATGACTTTATAACTTTGCTAAATAGAACTGGGTTCTCAAAATTCCATGATTGTTCTTTGAAATTCTGATGCGTTTCTTTCATACACTTTTGTTAATGTGTTTTTGACCGATCCTTCTTATTCTCATGAAACCTATTGATATTTTATGTATTTCAAATCTGAATAGATTGTTGATTTAGTTCTTTGCAAGGATTGTAACTCTTGGAGGACTTTTATTATAGTTCTACTTCTAAGATCCCCAAGGACAGAAAAGGCATGGCGGGCTCACACGTACCCCTCATATCGCCCAGAGTGACTGGCATTCTCTGCTTCCATTTACATCCTCTGCTGTTAAGATCCCTTCGTTAATGGGCTTCTGAGTTTGGGTCAAGCTATCTCCGGCTAAGCCTATGGACCTACAGAAGCATGCAGTTTTTTTCTTCCTTAATCAGGATTTGAGATTTAAAAATACTTTTGTTTCTAGTTTCTTTACATGTCATAACCATTTTGGATTTGACCTTTTTGCTTTTGGTATGGAGGTGAAGGGCTAGGGCCACTGGGAAAGTTGCCTGTAGGCCCGCAGTGGGAGCTTCCACTACAAGAATGTTTGTTCGGCAGGGCCCCTCTGCCTCCCCCACCATTAGACTGAACTGCTTCAAATGGAGTACACTCTCTCCTGTTTGCCTCAGGCTGCATTACTCCCTATTGCTAAACTAGTTCTAGGGATATCCAGAACTGTTTATGTTTTCTCTTTCCCAACGCATGTTGTTTTCTCTTAAGCTTATTTATTTATTTGAGAGAGAGAGAGAGAGAGAGAGAGAGAGAGAGAATTAGTAGAGGAAGGGTAGAGAAAGAGGCAGGTAGAGGATCCAAAGCAGGCTCTGTGCTGATAGCAGAGAGCCTGATGCGGGGCTCCAACTCACGAACTGTGAGATCATGACCTGAGCTGGTTGGAAGCTTGATGGACTGAGCCACCCAGGCACTCCATCTTTTCCTAAACATTTTAAAAAATGGCTCTGTATTCCATAATAATTATACCTGCCTTTACTTCTGGCTTCTGACTTAGCTACTTGAGTAAATCAAAGGATTCCTTATTTGTCCTGTACAAATAATAAAATTAACAGTTGTATAGTTTGTTACAGCTTATGAGGCATTTTAATTTAATTTATTGGACCATCACAATAATCCCATGGCTTGAGAAGTGGGTATATTTCTCCATATTATGCATGGGGATATATAGCATGGTGATTAAGAGTACAGGCTTTGGAGTTAGACAACCTGAGTTTGAATTTCACCTTTCGTAGTTACTAGCCTAGTCTCAGCTAATAAATGTACACAGTTTCCTCAACTGTAAAATGGGTATATATTTTCTATCTTATAGGGTCATTATAAGTAAATAATTAATTCATATAAAGTAATTAGAACCATGTCTGGCATATAGCAAGTGCTCATTAAATCTTAAAGAGTTGAAGATTTAACTTAAACTATTACTATTATTATTAATAACACATGGGAAAGTGGAAACTTGAAAAAATTGCAAAATCTAAGGTCACAATACCTACTTGGCAGGAGCGTTGGGGCTTTAAACAAGATTGGGAAGCGTCTGGTACTGGTTTCTTTCCTCTATATTTACTACTGATTTCCTCATGGGTTCTGAGGGGTCTGTAAAGTGAATCATCTTTTCTTTTACCTTTCAGCTTCCCTATCTTCATTTTCTTTTGTTTCCTCACTGTTAGAACACTTGGGCATCGTCTGTCCAGTCATGGGATCCATGTGTCAGAATTCAGCAAGGTGTAGGGATGTCCACATCCCTGTAGGGGGCCCTCCTGGACACAGAGCTGCTGGGATGTCTGGGGTCCCTCTGAAGTCTGCCCAGATAGTCTGGAAAACTTAACATCCTATTTAAAGTCAAAGTAGCCTCTTGTTGCCACACAGCAAATATTTTAAAAAACAATCAATAAGCATATATTTCTCCATGCTTTAGTTTCTTTCCTCTTAAGATCAAGAACACTTAAATTTTGGTGATCTCATTTGTCATTTCACATCACTTTGAGGTAGTGAAAAATCGGTTAAATTATCTCCATGGGGGTGGGGCCAGGAGAAGGGTAGTGAAGTCCTGCGTGAAAAGAACACAGGCTATGGAGTCTGGCTAATGAGGTTCAAATGGCTGTTTCATTTTCTGTTATGTCTCCACATCCCATTTTCCTCATTTGTGTAAGGAGGATAAGCAGAGGACTGTGTGGAGGCTTAAAGGAGAAAAAAAAAGCAAAAGAGATAATGCCAGGTACTTAGCAGGTAAATATGGCTGTTACAGATGCTGGGAGGTGACTTTTCACACTGGCTGAGGGTAACAGCAGGGAGCTCAGAGAATGGGGATGCCCTAGTGGGAACAGTATTTGAGGAAGACTTTATGATGGAGGAAGATTTGAGTGGTCAGCCCAGTGACTTGGCCATAGTAGGTAATCAGCAAGCTAGGTATTACCTGAAAATAGGATTCATATGAGAGAAGATAGGAAGTAATACCAGTTTGCACAGATGTGTGAGGTGGTCAAGGAGACAAATCTAATTGGAAAAGAGTGGTAGACCATATGATTTCATATGCAAATTGGTTGCACATTTTAGAAGGCTTTGAAATGCCAGATTGAGACTGAGCTTATTTCATTAAGGAAATTATTTCATTATTTCAATAGGAAGCTGTTGAACATTCTTAAACACATAATTTGACATATTAAATTTGGATTATAACTGTGTACTGGGCCTCTTCATCATGGATGGAGGAAGATGTGCCTGGTTAGATGATGCTAGTTCTGATTCTTACATTTAATGTAAGTGCCACAGAGACAGCATTTCTTTTGGACTGGAAGATAAAGTTGGATGACACCACTTGGGCTGTGTGGAGAGCAGAATAGTCCACTGTAGGGGAGACAAAGGAAGACAAAGGAAGGGAGAAATGAATGAGTATCCAGCTGAAATTTTTGGTGATACTCGGCTAGGGAGAGATGGAGCAAACAGAAAGATAGAAGGAACTGCTTGTCCTGTGTAGTCTTTTTTTTTTTTTTTAAATAAGAGATACTGGGTGTTTTTAAGGTTTATTTCATTATTTTGAGAGAGAGAGTACATGCATGCATGCTGGGGGAGGGACAGAGATGGGATTGGGGGGGAGAGGAGGAGAGAGAGAGAGATTGTGAGAGAGAGAGAGAGAGAGTGCGAGAGAGAGCGCGCACACCCCAAGCAGGCTCTTTGCTGAGAACAGTTCAATGCAGGGCTCAAATTCACAAACTATAAGATCATGACATGAGCTGAAATCAAGAGTCAGACGCTCAACTGACTGAGCCACTCAGGCAGCTCTGTGGAATCTTTTATGGATAGCAGATACATGGCATGCACAGTCAATTTCTCATTCCATTCCCTGCAAATGTTCATTGATCTTAGGATGTTTTCCTGTTGAGCTCAATGGAAGTCTTAGAGTCCTTGTTAACACAATGCTTCAGGCAGCGTTTATCAATTGATCAGAGTTGGCACTGAACTCAAACCTATCTGTCATGCCTGGAGTAAGCAATGAATGAGAAATAGATGATGACTATTCTGACAATGCAAATCGATTTTACTTTTCCAGGTAGAACTTGCGGAAATCTGTGCCAAGAGCGAGCGTTATATTGGCACTGAAGGAGGAGGGATGGACCAGTCCATATCATTTCTGGCAGAAGAAGGAACTGTAGGTGACATGGAGCTGTTTGGAAATATCAACTAGGGAAAGTTCAAATGGGAAGGAGGCCCTGAGATCTTCGACTTCCTTGGTTCCAGGCTACCAATTCTATCAGGTTCTATTGTAAATGGTATTTCTCAATTGCTCTGTAATTCAAGGCCTCTATCAGTTCCCCTATTGTGTTTCATGTTGATCACCTCTTTCTTAGGCTTCCAGAATCATTCTCCAAGTCTGTTTTTCTCTTGTATCTAGTTTTTCCCTTCTATTTCTCTTCATTGCTAAGATGAGATTTCTCAACTCCCTGGTTATTGAGACCTCCTCTCCCGCTCTTGTCCCAAATCACTTCATCTCATGGCATTTTCATAATCTCTTGTTGGTTTTAAACCCAAATGTTAACTTCTCTTACCACATATATTCACAACCCCTCTTTTTATAATTTACTCTTTGGTATCAGTTTTCTCTGTCAACATTTTTGGGGCTTCAGTGGCAGGGAAAAGAATGTTGACAGTAAGTCAAAGATGAATTCCTTAGCTGCATACCACTTCCCCTTGGCTATCAACTCCTTTAGGCAGAGTAGAGGTTTTGGTTGTTGCCCATCAACTGCCCATTTCCAAAGTAGAAGCAGACATTTCTTTAAAATCTTTTCTTAGGTTTTCATCAGATTCCTACAGGCTTGGCTATTTTCCAAGAATACTTGGATTTCTTCTTATTAAGAATGTTTATTACTGATTCCTCTAAGCCAAAGACCTGAAGCATGAGGAAATGTGGTTTAATGTTAAGAAAATATTCTGGGTGTTTTGGATGAGACCTGACAACCAAACATGATGGCAAGAGTCCTGATGTTAATGTAAATTAGCTATAGAGTCTGAACAAAGTCCAGTATCTTTCAGCTTACAAAGCACTTCATGATCTGGCCCTTGCTTTACCTCTCCAGTCTACCCTCTCATCTATCCTCAACCCTCCAACTTTGAGCTCCAGCCAAATTTCAATACTTAAAGCTCTATTAACACCTCATGCTTTTTGCCTGTGAATTTGTGTATGCTCTTCCCTCTTTCTGATATCTTATTTGGGTCGTCAAGGAATCCTCTGACTGCCCTAGTCTTGCTCATTTCTCAAAAGCCAGTTTAGATTTCCCTTTTTTCAAAGGGGCCTACACTAGGTGATCAGAGGCTTGAACTATGTGCCTATAAAGCACCCTGCGCTTTGCTACCATTATAACACAACCCGGAAATGTATTTGTCTGCTTGTCTTTCCTGCTAGATTGTGAGCTCTATGAGGGCAGGGACAGTGTATGTCTTGTTCACTGTTGTAGCTCCAGTGCCTAGTACACTACCTGGAAGCCAATAAATATTTGAATTGAATGAGTGCATTTTTAGGAAAAAATGTTTGCTGTGGTAAATAAATACATAAATAAATTAAACATTTTCTGAATTCTAATACATTATATCTCACCTGTCATTTTTCTTCCAATAGGCCAAGTTGATAGAATTTAGTCCCCTGAGGGCAACTGATGTGAAACTCCCAAGTGGAGCAGTGTTTGTGATTGCCAACAGTTGTGTGGAAATGAATAAGGCAGCGACTTCTCATTTCAATATCAGGGTGATGGAGTGTCGGCTGGCTGCAAAGGTATGAACTTGGCAAACTAGTTAAACCTGGAGTAAGCTTTCTCTTATGCTTTTTCTCCTTTTTCCCTGCTACCTTGTCTCTTTCCCTGAAGCTTAGGGCAGCATTCTGACTGTAACAATATTCTAAATGATAATCTTTGGGAAGAGAGTAACCTGATTCCACACTCAGGAGATAAGTAAACCTATGGGTATATCCTGCAACCTCTTGGCTTTTGGAAGCTACATGAACTTCACAGTTGAGTCTTCTAGGATAGAACAGGGGAGAAGAGGAGAGTTTACATCTGTGAAGTATAGGCTACGGGTTATGGGTGGAAAAAGGTAGTTGGAGGTGATTGATGGAAAGTGACCATAACTGATCTTGTTTCCTCAACAAATGTAATGGTAGCCTCAACACCTGCTGCTCTCAGATGCATCATTTTTGTAGTAGCAGGCCATCACTGGTCACTCTAAAAAATGAGCTCGATGTAACGCCCCCATGCCCAAAAGATTTTTATGTGTCTGCAAAGGAAACACAAGCCAGAAGGGAGTTTTGGGAATTCTGTGTTCCATAGTTTAGAAGAACCTTGCCAGTCAAGCCTCAAACCTGCTTAGGAAGTACTCATTGAATACCTGTTGTATGCCTAGGGGCGTGAAGATATACAGAAGGATATAAGGAATAAGAATAGAGAGAGTAGAGCAGAGAGTTAAAATTAGAGGGATGTGAAAAAAGGAAATGGTATGTGATCAGGTGGTATGTAAGCAGGTGCTCCAAAAGTGACACAGAAATGAGATGTTATGGAGGATCCAGAAAGGTACATGGTATGACCAGAAAGGTGGAGAGAACTAAAGCTGGGATCTGGGGAGTGGGTTCTGGCTTAGGAGGTGCACTGTACTTTCTCCTAGTTAGAAGGAGGGCTTAGAAATTTAAGTCTAATCAGATAATTTCCCTGCTTAACACCTTTCAAACTTTTTTATTTTATTGGAATAAAGTAAAAAGTTCTCATCACTGCCTGGAGAGCCTTGCAAGATCTGATGCCCGTACACCTCAGCCTTTTCCTGTCTTAGCATCCCCCACTCCCATTACACTCCGGCCATAATGACCCGTCCCACCCCAGGGACTTTGTGCATGCCTAGAATGCTCTTCCCGTCACCTTCTTTGAGGTCTCAGCCTAAATGTCCCCCAAGGAAGCCTTTCTTGACTTTCTTACTCCTAGACTAAGGGTAAGTCACCCTTCATACTTCACTGCACATATACTTCTCAGTTATGGAATTTATCACTGTTTAATGTCTGTCTCCTCCTTTTGATTCAATTTTATCTGAGAGCCAGGACTGTGTCATCTTGCTAACTCTTATATTGCTCTAATGCCTGGCATTGTGCTTAGGCCAAAATAGGCACAGGATAAACATTTGCTGGATATATAACTACTGCCTGTGTTACCTGCCCTGTCATATTTAGTTTGCTCCATTTCACAACATTATACAAGTACATATTGGATGGGCTACTATGGTAAAATGTAAGGTATAGTTATCCCTTGTGATTGATTTGCGACTTCACCCTCTTCCCACCCTCTGAAGTTATGAAGTTAGGGAGAGTAGAGATAGGATGAGCCAGAAAAAGAAAAGGTGTTTTTTTTTCTGGAAAATTTTGGTATTAACATTTCTTTCTTTCATAATTTATTGTCAAGTTGGGATTCCACCCAGTGTTCGTCCCAACAAGTGCCCTCCTCCATGCCCGTCACCCCCCTCCCCCTCCCATCAGCTCTCAGTTTGTTGTCAGTATTCAACAGTCTCTCATGGTTTGCCTCCCTCCCTCTCCCCAATGATTTTTCCCTTCTCTTCCCCCATGGCCCTCCATTAAGCTCCTCCTAATCCACCTATAAGTGGAAACATATGGTATGTCTTTCTCTGCCTGACTTACTTGGCTCAGCATAACACCCTCAAGTTCCATCCACGTTGCTACAAATGGACAGATTTCATTCTTTCTCATTGCCATGTAGTAGTAGTATTCCATTGTATAGATAAACCACATCTTCTTGATCCATTTGTCCATTGATGGACACTTAGCCCCTTCCCATGATTTGGCTATTGTTGAAAGTGCTGCTATGAACATTGGCGTACATGTGCCCCTATGCATCAGCACTCCTGTATCCCTTGGGTAAATTCCTAGCAGTGCTATTGCTGGGTCATAGGGGAATTCTATTGTGAATTTTTTGAGGAACCTCCACACTGTTTTCCAGAGGGGCTGCTCCAGTTTACATTCCCACCAACAGTGTAGGAGGGTGCTCATTTCTCCACATCCTCGTCAGCATCTAGAATCTCCTGATTTGTTCATTTTAGCCACTCTGATTGGTGTGAGATGGTATCTCAGTGTGGTTTTGATTTATATTTCCCTGATGATGAGGGTCGCTGAGCATTGTTTCATGTGTCTGTTGGCCACCTGGATGTCCTTTTTGGAGAAGTGTCTGTTCATGTCTTCTGCTGACTTCTTCACCTGGTTGTTATTCAGGTGTGGAGTTTGGTGAGTTCCTTATAGATTTTGGATCCTAGCGCTTTATCTGATATGTCATTTGCAACTATCTTTTCCCATTCCGTCGGTTGCCTGTTAGTTTTATTGATTGTTTCCATTGCCGTGCAGAAGCTTTTTATCTTGATTTGGTCCCCAATAGATCATTTTTGGTTGATGCCCTTGCCTTTGGGGATGTGTCAAGTAAGAAATTGTTGCAGTTGAGGTTGAGGAGGTTGTTTCCTGCTTTCTCCTCTAGGGTTTTGGTGGTTTCCTGTCTCACATTCAGGTCCTTGTTCCATTTTGAGTTTATTTTTGTGTATGGTGTGAGAAAGTGATCTAGTTTCATTCTTCTGCATGTTGCTGTCCAGTTCTCCCAACACCATCTGTTAAAGAGGCTGTCTTTTTTCCATTGGATACTCTTTCCTGCTTTGTCAAAGATTAGTTGGCCATACATTTGTGGGTCCAATTCTGAGTTCTCTATTCTATTCCATTGGTCTATGTGTCTGTTTTTGTGCCAATACCACACTGTCTTGATGATGACAGCTTTGTAGTAGAGGCTAACGTCTGGGATAGTTTTGCCTCCTGTTTTGGTTTTCTTCTTTAGTATTACTTTGGCTATTCAGGGTCTTTTGAGGTTCCATACAAATTTTAGGATAGTTTGTTCTAGTTTTGAGAAGAATGCTGGTGCAATTTTGATTTGGATTGCATTGGATGTGTAGATTGCTTTGAGTAGTAATGACATTTTAACAGTATTCTTCTGACCCATGAGCATGGAATGTTTTTCCATTTCTTTGTGTCTTCTTCAATTTCCTTCATAAGTTTTCTATAGTATTCATCAAACAGGTCTCCTATATCTTTGGTTAGGTTTATTCCTAGGTATTTTATGTTTTTTTTGTGCAGTTGCGAATGGAATCAGTTTCTTGATTTCTCTTTCTGTTGGGTATTAACATTTTTTTTTTTTAAATCATGGTTTAAATGTTTTAAATTTGGAATTTACTCCTTCAGATAATTTCTAAAATTTATGTAAAAGCAATGTTTCAATATTAAACTCTTCACAGTATCTGATCCATGCGTATATGAGAAGTAGTGCAGTAAACTTTTCAATATCAGGGTGTTAGTGACCATGAACTCCTTTTTTCCTTTAGGACAAACTTCCTCTTTCAGGAGATGGAAAAAATTAGTGTCTTATTTATTTGAGGGCTTATTCTTGATGATTTTGAGATTGATGAGTAAGTGTTGTCTAAGGAGACTTCAAGCATACACAAAGTTGTTTTCAAAGTTTTATCACGGAACGTGGGGTCCTCTAGGAGATCTGCAACTACAATGAGCATGAGATGTAAAATGGGTTCCTGTTGTGACTCCTCTCTTCCCGAGGTGCAAGGGGAGAGAGGAACGCAGTTGTGGGGCTGAATCTCTAATGAAAGTTGTCAGGATGGGGGAAGGTCTGAGAGTTAACTGGTGGAAAATAGCCATCTCTGTTGGAACTGATAATGGCTGAAAGCCTTACTCCACTGCAGAACCTCTTGTTCTTGAGAGTATCTTCTGAACTGATAGCTCCACATGAGTCTTAGAGGTACTCTGGTCATTGAAACTGGCCTCTGAATTTTGCTTTTTGCCGTACACTCCTCCCAATTGGTATATATTCTGAATTTGTCTTTGTTTTAAAATATGGAAGAAAGGAAAGTGCAAGACTTTATCAAGATGGTAAATGTTTCCTAAATCATGTTGCTGTGAATCACTAGATTCCAAGGTTCTGTACAAAAGGGAAGTAAAGATAAAACTGCTAATATAACCTTGATGTTAAGAATACACTTTTGCCTAGGAATCCTAAGCACATTTTCCTTCTAATATGGTTCCATTCTTTCATTTATATGTGAATAAATATAAGTTTTGTTTGGAAATGGTCTCATTAGATTGAGAAATAAACTTCCCATGTAAAAAGGTAGAGAAAGTTGCAAATTTTCTGTTTTCACATGGTAAAAGTGTCAGGGCAGAAATGACTAATCAGGATAGCTTTGAAAATGACACTGATCAGAGGTCTGCGCAGCAAAACTGTAATGAATGGCATTTGTTTTCCCACTGCTCCCAGCCCTCCAAGCTCCTTTTGGAAAATGAGTACCTTTTGTATCTACTTAACACAGGGAGTACACTGAACCAACAAAGATGGTTTGGCTTTCACACTGATAGTTTCTTCTATCCTCACGTCTCCTTTCTGTCCCTTTCTCTTTCTCCCTCCTCCTCTTTCTAGTAGCTGCCAAAAAGTAATTGATGCAGATTCATTGAAAGTCAGAGTCTGGTAGAGCCATTTGAACTAAAATTAAAAACATTTCAAAGCAAACTCAGTAGAGATTTATAATTACTACTTGCGTAAGGGATACTTTTAAGTGAAGCACATTTTTATGTTCTTAAATTAACAAAGCGGCCAGAAATCTTTCATGAACGCAAAAATTTTCATACTTTACACACATTCAGTGGCTTAAACTTTTCCAGAAATGTTTTATGTCTATAAAAGAAAG